TTCAATTTTGGACTAGGGGCGACCCTAGTCAAAATCAATTTGTCACTTTTTTCTTCGAGGGTTTATCCAAATGGATTGAAACTTTAAATATTCTAGTGCTTAAAACAAATACAAATAAAACATCCCAAAATTTTTTTGAGCAAAGAACCAAGTAGGAAATACATTTTCAATTTGGGACTAGGGGCGACTCTAGTCAAAATAAATTTTGTCACTTTTTTCTTCGAGAATTTATACAAATGGATTGAAACTTTGCATAAATATTCTAGTGCTTAAAACAAATACAAATAAAACATCCTAAAATTTTTTTGAGCAAAGAACCAAGTAGGAAATACATTTTCAATTTTGGACTAGGGGCGACCCTAGTCAAAATCAATTTTGTCACTTTTTTCTTCGAGGGTTTATCCAAATGGATTGAAACTTTGCATAAATATTTTAATGCTTAAAACAAATACAAAAAATTATCCAAAATTTTTTTTGAGCAAAGAATCAAGTAGGAAATACATTTTCAATTTTGGACTAGGGGCGACCCTAGTCAAAATCAATTTGTCACTTTTTTCTTCGAGGGTTTATCCAAATGGATTGAAACTTTGCATAAATATTTAAGTGCTTAAAACAAATACAAATAAAACATTTTATAATTTTTTTTTTGAAAACAACCAAGTAGGAAATACATTTTCAATTTTGGATTAGAAGCGACCCTAGTCAAAATCAATTTTCTCACTTTTTTCTTCGAGGGTTTATCCAAATGGATTGAAATTTCGCATAAATATTCAAGTGCTTAAAACAAATACAAATAAAACATTCTAAAATTTTTTTGAGCAAAGGATCAAAAAGGAAATACATTTTCAATTTTGGACTAGGGGCGACCCTAGTCAAAATCAATTTGTCACTTTTTTCTTCGAGGGTTTATCCAAATGGATTGAAACTTTGCATAAATATTTTAGTGCTTAGAACAAATACAAGTAAAACATTTTATAGTTTTTTTGAGCAAAAAACCAAGTAGGAAATACATTTTCAATTTTGGACTAGGGGCGACCCTAGTCAAAATCAATTTTGTCACTTTTTTCTTCGAGGGTTTATCCAAATGGATTGAAACTTTGCATAAATATTCTAATGCTTAAAACAAATACAAATAAAACATTTTATAGTTTTTTTGAGCAAAGAACCAAGTAGGAAATACATTTTCAATTTTGGACTAGGGAGCGACCCTAGTCAAAATCAATTTTGTCACTTTTTTCTTCGAGGGTTTATCCAAATGGATTGAAACTTTGTATAAATATTTAAGTGCTTAAAACAAATACAAATAAAACATTCTATAGTTTTTTTGAGCAAAGAACCAAGTAGGAAATACATTTTCAATTTTGGACTAGGAGCGACCCTAGTCAAAATCAATTTGTCACTTTTTTCTTCGAGGGTTTATCCAAATGGATTGAAACTTTGCACAAATATTCTAGTGTTTAAAACAAATACAAATAAAACATCCTAAAATTTTTTTTGAGCAAAGAATCAAGGAGGAAATACATTTTCAATTTTGGACTAGGGGCGACCCTAGTCAAAATCAATTTGTCACTTTTTTCTTCGAGGGTTTATCCAAATGGATTGAAACTTTGCATAAATATTCTAATGCTTAAAACAAATACAAATAAAACATTTTATAGTTTTTTTGAGCAAAGAACCAAGTAGGAAATACATTTTCAATTTTGGACTAAGAGCGACCCTAGTCAAAATCAATTTGTCACTTTTTTCTTCGAGGGTTTATCCAAATGGATTGAAACTTTGCATAAATATTCTAGTGCTTAAAACAAATACAAATAAAATATTCTAAATTTTTTTGAGCAAAGAATCAAGTAGGAAATACATTTTCAATTTTGGACTAGGGGCGACCCTAGTCAAAATCAATTTTCTCACTTTTTTCTTCGAGGGTTTATCCAAATGGATTGAAACTTTGTATAAATATTCTAATGCTTGAAACAAATACAAATAAAACATCCCAAAATTTTTTTGAGCAAATAATCAAGTAGGAAATACATTTTCAATTTTAGACTAGGGGCGACCCTAGTCAAAATCAATTTTGTCACTTTTTTCTTCGAGGGTTAATACAAATTGATTGAAACTTTGCATAAATATTCTAGTGCTTAAAACAAATACAAATAAAATATTCTAAATTTTTTTGAGCAAAGAATCAAGTAGGAAATACATTTTCAATTTTGGACTAGGGGCGACCCTAGTCAAAATCAATTTTCTCACTTTTTTCTTCGAGGGTTTATCCAAATGGATTGAAACTTTGTATAAATATTCTAATGCTTGAAACAAATACAAATAAAACATCCCAAAATTTTTTTGAGCAAAGAACCAAGTAGGAAATACATTTTCAATTTTGGACTAAGAGCGACCCTAGTCAAAATCAATTTGTCACTTTTTTCTTCGAGGGTTTATCCAAATGGATTGAAACTTTGCATAAATATTCTAGTGCTTAAAACAAATACAAATAAAATATTCTAAATTTTTTTGAGCAAAGAATCAAGTAGGAAATACATTTTCAATTTTGGACTAGGGGCGACCCTAGTCAAAATCAATTTTGTCACTTTTTTCTTCGAGGGTTTATCCAAATGGATTGAAACTTTGTATAAATATTCTAATGCTTGAAACAAATACAAATAAAACATCCCAAAATTTTTTTGAGCAAATAATCAAGTAGGAAATACATTTTCAATTTTAGACTAGGGGCGACCCTAGTCAAAATCAATTTTCTCACTTTTTTCTTCGAGGGTTTATCCAAATGGATTGAAACTTTGTATAAATATTCTAATGCTTGAAACAAATACAAATAAAACATCCCAAAATTTTTTTGAGCAAAGAACCAAGTAGGAAATACATTTTCAATTTTGGACTAAGAGCGACCCTAGTCAAAATCAATTTGTCACTTTTTTCTTCGAGGGTTTATCCAAATGGATTGAAACTTTGCATAAATATTCTAGTGCTTAAAACAAATACAAATAAAATATTCTAAATTTTTTTGAGCAAATAATCAAGTAGGAAATACATTTTCAATTTTAGACTAGGGGCGACCCTAGTCAAAATCAATTTTGTCACTTTTTTCTTCGAGGGTTAATACAAATTGATTGAAACTTTGCATAAATATTCTAGTGCTTAAAACAAATACAAATAAAACATCCTAAAAAAAAAGTGAAAAACTAGATTTTGACTAGACCTGTCCCAAGTTCATAATTGAAAATGTATTTCCTACTTGATTCTTTGCTCAAAAAAACTTAAGATGTTTTATTTGTATTTGTTTCAAGCACTAGAATATTTATGCAAAGTTTAAATCCATTTGGATAAACCATCGAAGAAAAAGTGAGAAAATTGATTTTGACTAGGGTCGCCCCTAGTCCAAAATTGAAAATTGATTTTTTATGGTGTACTTTGGTCAAAAAAAATTTTTGGATGTTTTATTTGAATTGACATAATTCTTACATAAATCACATACCAATATTACTTTTTGTAATGTATAGCTTAAAAAAAATCGAAATCTAAAATTTCGACTACCCCATCTGAGCAAATCTTGGTCTATCCATAAGAATTTTGATGGTACGGTGTGAATATATCCGCATTGGGTTTCTACCCGATATACTTGTTGTTATTGGCTGTCAGCACGCATTACGTGGAGTTTTATGCGAATAAATTTATGTGCTGTTTGGTAACTACAATGAATGATAAAGATGGATATACCAAAAATTATAATTGTTGTTTTAATTGAAAATTGTGCAATATATTGCATTATTTTCAATTGGTTAAGCTGTTTTTGCATGTTTTACACCATTTGATGATTTTATTTGTTGTTTTGAAGCTTTAGATCAGCTTATAAGCTTCAGAAAGTGTCTAGTAATTAAATTAAAGTTGATGTTTGGTGCCACAAATCTCAAAAGGGTGTGAAACTATGTCATGATAAAAACGTGTTTAACAGGGGCATAAAACTATAATTCAAATAAAAATAAACCTTTTAAAATTAAAAATCTATAAAATCAATTAAAAACGCAATTTTTACTTCCCAAAAGGCGTCATAAAAAGAAAAATTAATAAAAAATTCATCATCATATGGACGTATTTCCATTTTTTTATTATTATTATTAGTGTCACATTATTAAACGCAGCAATATTAAAGGGTTTTGAAATCAATAAGTCATTAAAACGCTACAAAAATAAAATAAAGTTGTTGACTCAATTAATATTAAATCAAAATGAAGGGAGAAAAAAAAATGTCAGGCCATAAATATGTTATTACTGTCCATGATGTACATGCAATGAAAACAAGATTTTATAAATAATTTGAATTAAAATATTGTTTTACAATCTCATGCCTGATCGTACCTGAAAAATGTCTCTCTCTCGTTGATAACTTTTCTGATAGAAAAACATAACAAATTTCATTTTGAAAACATCATTCAGCAACAACAGCACACACATGTGTCGTTCATCACATTTTATGGCAATCTTATTTTTAGACAAAAGTCATTTCCATTCTCAAGTCATCTCATTCTATCTCTCTCGTTTTTCCTTTAAATCTTTTCCCCCAGCCGTATCTCTCACAATTTATTCATAGCGACAAAAAAATTACTTAAATACAATGAACTCGTCTATAAAATACGATGAAAAAAATAAGGCAAGAAGTGAAATCAAAAAAAAAAGAGCCTGAAAAATGCAGGCATTGAGGAAAAGTTCTTCTTAATCGAGATAATTTTTTTGTCATGTGTGATAATTTTAGACTTAAAAGTAGCTACGAATCACGGATTGGTGTTGAAATGCGCATTTCTTGTGTCATTTTAATTGGGAAATAAATCTTGTTACGAAATTCCTATTTTAACGGATTTTTAATATTTTCCTCAATACCTTACAACAGCTGATTTTTTTTGAAAATCTTAAATACGTTTGAAATTGAAATTTAATTATTTTAACATGCAAGCATTGACAAAATTTCAACTTTCATGCTTTGTAATTGAATCAAAATTTTTAAAAAACCCAAACTTTAAATTTATTTGCTATATTCTGTCAAATCAATACAAACAAAGAAGATGAAGACCATCATAGCTATAACAGTCATCATCATCCTAATCTCAGCAATTAATTGCGACGAAGTAAAACAAGAAAATCTCAGAAAATTCAAGATCGATTTAGAATTCTCAGAAAAAATCTATAAAGTAGCTAAAGAAGTAGAACAATCAGCTAAAGAATTGTTTGACAAAGTCCAATATGAGTTTGAAGAGTTTGTTGTTGGAATCAATAATCTAAAAACTCATCTTGATTCGTTGCTTGCTGAACTGATAAAAATTGATGAAGCTTTCTCAGCTGCTTTTCAATACAAGGCTAAAGTAAACAAAACTGCAGCATTAGCTGATGAAAAATTCAAGGAAGCGAAAAAGAATCTTGATGCTGTAAAGACAAGTGAAGACCGAGAAAAAATTGACATAGCCACAAAGGAATATGCAGCATATAGCCGTGAAAAGCTTTTGAGTGAACAGGCTTTGAAGAAAGCTGAAGAAGCCTTAATCAAGTTTGGAGCTGAACTTGATGATATAAAAACAGCTGTTAAAATTTCTCAGGAAGCTTACGATGAAGCTCTCATTCAAAAACAGCAAAAACAGTCAAAACTTATAAAATTGAAAGAAAATTTTGAGGCAAAGATTAATGAACGAATTCAGGCTGAGAAAGCATACAATAAAGCTAAAGCTGCAATTGAATTGAATCCCGATCTAGATGCTTCAGGACTTTATGATAAGAGAAATGGAGCTGCATCTTTTGGAATCAAGCAAATTGTTGGATTTTTCTGTTCACTTTTAACTGGTGCTGTTGCTGCTGGATTGATAATGTGAGATGAGGCTGAAAACTGAAGGAATTTATCTAAATTTTGAATGCGTTCTCTGATGAATGTTTAGGAAGTTGTTTGGAAATAAAATTGTATTGTTTCATTCTGTTTCTTTCTTCAGCCTTTGATCCTTCTATTCTTTTACACAAATGATGTCTGATATTCAATTAACCTAAAATAATTTGGTTTTAAGGTTATATTTTCTGTTATTCAAAGCAGTTAAGTGCCTTGCTGGTCCAATAGGTAAGGCGCTTGGCTCAAATTTGGGATGATAACTCGAAGGTCGTCGGTTTGAATCCAGCCATTTCCAAATTTGTTCCTTTTCGGAAGTTTAGATACTTCGACTGCTTAATGTACGAGATCAAGCCATAATTGGGAATTTGGGCAACGTTGGATTAAGGAACGGGTCAGGAACTTGAAGTGTAATGGGAGAAATGGGAACGAGAGCTACAAGATTACCCACGAATGGAATATTGTTAGAACGGACCTGAAAAGTATCACGTCACGCCCACAGAAGATCGAAACGAGAGCCTTAGTTTATTTGAAACCTAGATATGAAGATTAGAAGTTTGATCCTATATAATACTAATTCATATGTATACAAATACAAAAGTGTAAAATGTGAATTATTACCGGACAGTATGTCGTCAATAAATGCAATAAAATGCAATTAAAATGAAAAAAAAAAAACTATTCATACCACGTGACACTCCTGATCAATAAGTCTAGTAAATTATTGATGACACCCACTTAATCCCGTTAAATTAGCTGAACCTATCCGAATTCCTCAAACTTAATTGTGCTACAAAACAAATAAATCAAAATAATAATAAAAAGAAAAGAAAAACTCAAAACTCAATAAAAGTTTTGTGATCGTCCCATACCTAATTTTCATCTTAAAATGACAACACGTGTGGCTCATATATCTTTTAAACATGCGCTGTAAAAATAAAGAATGAACAAAATAAGAAATATCAAGATGTTTTCTTTCTTTTAATAAAGTATTCTCGGAATGATTTGGAACAGCATAGAAAATTAAACTTCACGAGTGCATTAATTATGTTGGTGACTCCAACAAACGGCAGTGAGAAGAGCAGTTTATGTAAAAATAAATTTGAGGGATAAAAAGTGTAAAGATAGTTGGATGATCTTCGTGTGCTTAGATTCTGGTGACATAAAGATATGATGAAAATAACAAGGGTTGACAATCGTTGCTTTTTGTGACTGGTAAGGAGCTGTTTACATATTACTTAACTCAAGAATTGGACTAATCAAGATAAATCTTTAATTTAAGAACAAATCTTCAAACATTTAGAATTTTTCATATTTAGAAACTTTTGAGCTTTTTTGAATAAAACTTTTTGAAAATTTTGAAACTTTTATCAAATTGAATTAAAGAGATCAAATAATCTAATTTAAACTGTTAAAAATTGATTAAACTTGATCGAAAATGTAAAAAATTGATGATTGAAATTTGATAAAAAGCTTTTTGATCAAATTTGATACAAATCAAGCTAAGTCAAGTTGAGCTTTTTGAATCAAGTTGAGCATTTTGAATCAAATTGAGCTTTTTGAATCAAGTTGAGCTTTTTTGAATCAAGTTAAGCTTTTCGAATCAAATTGAGCTTTTTGAATCAAGTTGAGCCGTTTGAATTAAGATGAGCTTTTTTGAATCAAGTTGAGATTTTTGAATCCAATTGAGCTTATTTGAATCAAGCTGAGATTTTTGAATCAAATTGAGCTTTTTGAATAATGCTTTTTCTCTTCAAAAATTCAATTTACAAATCAAATTTGAACTTAAAAAATCTTAATTAAAATTCAACATATTTGACAACCTTTTAGAAAGAAAGATCACGTTTTGTTGCTCAGCTTTTTGAATAAATTCTCAAAATTTCCTTCAAACTTAACTTAAACCCTGACTTGACATGAAAAATTCCTCATCATAAACATTTTTTTCAGATTTATTTTGCGTATCAAAGGAGAAAAGAGAGAAAAATATCAGAGCTATAAAAAATATTGTGAGTTGGAAAATTGTGAGTCATAGAAATATGACGCCTCTGCATGTTTTCTTCTATGTGACACTATAACTCAGCCTCAGTTCACCTCATTCTATCTGTATTCTATGAAAACAAGTTTTTAAGTTTTTAAAAATAGATTTCAATTTGCACAACTTTTCCTGTCCCGAGCTTGTAAATCACGACAATAATAATGAAACATCATTGTGAGTGGATGGGATTTCGCATAATAGCATGAGCCGTATAGCAATGGAAATTTTTAATTTGACAGATTTAAAATATTCAGAAATAAGGTGAGACACAGTCTTTATTCATACAAATTTTTTTCATCGGAATTTTCACTTCTTTTCTCCAACGATTGCGTACAACAATAAATTATCGAGTTAAATGTGCGTTGTGGGATCATCATAAAGATGAAAATCAGAGTAAAAGTCTACCACAGAGAAAAGAGAATTCATTAAATATTAATTTTTATTATTTTAAGCTGTTGCGCGATGCTGAAAAAAAATAAAACAATTTTTCTCAGTTTTTCCTCAAAATAAGATAATAATTTTCATGACTGAAACGCATTTTTCTTCTTTAATTTACAGCACTTTTACGACAAACATTTTTCTGTCCTAATTTCCGTGCCTTCTGATGATTGCAATGAGCGCGTTTGGATGGCTTATCTTTGAGTGATCGATTTGTTTTTGACATGTGATAGAAAATATTGAACATTTGGCTTTTCTTTTGTTGAAAATTGAAGTATTGATGCCAAATATTTGTCATTGAGATTTTCGAAATTTTCAATAATTATTGTTGTTCTTTTGAAAAGGAATTCGTTCATAAATGAAATAATTAAATAATAATATAATTTTTGAAAAATTTGAATTTTCCTGCGTTTTTTTTGGTTACTTCATCCAAGTTTTAAACTTTAGAAACATTAAAATTGAAATTTTGTAATTATTGGATCAATTCAGTTGATTAGCCTTATAATTTTGATGTATAAAGTTTTGCTCCTTCTTTTTAAACACATTTTAATCATTATGTTTGTTTTTAAATTCGAAATTAAGCTGAAATTAATAGTCAAGCATTTGAGATGGACAATTTTTATTATAAAAAATATTTTCCCGCTATAAATTAACCGACAAAGATAAGATAAAGCAGCAACTGGAGAGTTTATATGCAAATAGATAATCTGAAAAAAGAAATCACTGAAAAATTCAAAACAAAGTAAAAAACTTTTCCAATTTTCATTTTTATAAATTTTTTTATTGTTCCTTTTTTGTATTTTTTTTATTATTTTTTTCTTCGTGAATGATTTTCCTTGTAATAATTTTTATAAATAATTAAATTAATATTGTAGTTTTTAATGTTGTATAATAAGAATTAATAAGTACAGATAATTAATGTTCTTTTTTCTTTGCTGCCATTTAGAATATAATCAAGTATTGTTTTTTTGTTCATTTTTTCGTATTTTTTTTTTTTCTTATTATCCTCTTACATCCTATAAAAATATCTTTATGCAATTAATAAAATAGATATTTTTTCCGTAATAATGTATAATAGATTTTCATATTTTAATTATGCACTTTGATCCTTCATCTTTCAATAAAATTCTGATTCTCTTTTGTTAGGTCCTTAAAACCATTATTCCTTTTCGTTTCTTAAAAAATTTGATTAATTTTTTTTGCTATCTAAAAAATAGTTCATCTTTTTTAAATCTTCATATCCATCAGATTTATCAGTTTTATTTTTGAACGAGTGCATTAAAAGTGTGCATTTTAGAGTATTTATTGAAACAAATTTGCGATTTATTTCATAGACATTTTTAGAAGTTTGAAATTTTAGAAATTTATTCGAACTAGAGTGAATTTGAGAGATTTATTTAGTTTTGGGAATTTTAACGGATTTTAATTATTGATTTCGCATCAATTGATGCAAATTATTTTTAAAAAAACTGATTATTGAAATTCTTAAAAATTTAACGACTTTTTGAAATTCAAATTTTGCATCAAAAGATGCAGAAATTTTTGAATTTAAAATGACAGTTAAAATCATAATGTGAAAGCCATGCAAGCCTAGTGCAAAAGAATAGCAGTCTTTATAGCTTTATTCAGTTCCAATAACTTCCCATTATTGCTTAACAAATAATCCCCTCAAAAGCACTTTAGAACAAGCTTTAAATCCAAATTTTATTTCATTGGTGGCTGCTTTGAAAATGTTTCTTAAACATCTAATTAATTAAAGATCATTGTGTATGTATAAAAGTCTTATAAATTTAATTTTTTTATCTTTAACTTTATAATGTTCATTGAAAAGATTTATATTTAATTTTTAAGTTTTTCTTCATCATGTTAACATCATTTTTATTTTCTTCGATTCCTCAATGTTGATTTTTTTTTATTCTTTGTAAAGAAGTATTATAAAAGTAGTTTTAACATTTTTTTTCGAGGCTAAAGTTTTACCACAAGTAGACAAAAAAGAATTGGAAAATTGAAACTTGAATAGAAACAAAACTTTTTCATCATAAATTTGTCGTGATATGAACATAATTGAATTAGTATTATCAAAAAAACTTTTGTGTGAAATTTGTGACTTTTGTTTTGTTCATTAGTTCCTTAAAAGAAATTTGTGATATGCATTGAACAGAATCATTTAATTTTTCAGAATTATAACAGAGTTTTGAGGGCAAGCAACATAATTAATAAGCATACCTGAGGAGCACAAGAAGTCTTGGACTTGTAAAATATTGATTGTCACGAAGAATTTCTTGTGCTGTTCAGGATTAAAAATATGGGCAACAAAAATTTCTTCTTGAGCATAAGTCTTAAAATTTAATGTAGGTATGAAATAATTGTCAATTTTTTTTGTTTTGCTATATGTACGAAAAAATTCAAATTTTCTTTCTCATTTGCCATCGTTCCTGATCATCATATTCATTCTTCATTTAAATTAGTTTAATAAAACAAAACAAACAAAATAATTATTTTAAAAAAATTGACTAGAACTTTTTCTCGGGGCATCTTTTCTTTTATCATATTTCATGTGACGCAATAAACGATTGATTTTTAATTTTTTTTTAGACGGAACAAAAAGAGAATGAAAAATGAATGCTATCATCAATATCAATTGTTTTAATAATAGGTTAAAAATGAGATTCGAGTTATAACAAATTAAGCAAAAAAATTAAATAGTTTTTGAGAAGAAAATTTTAATTTTTTTCAGGCCGCTTTTTTGGTCTCTGAGATGGATTTCTCTATACATATATGTATTATTAATATTTTTAAGGTAATTTTATCTTTTGTTTCATATTTTTGGTTCTTTCTAACTTCTTTTAATGTTGATGGGCTGTTTGATTGACTAATTTTTGCGCCTTCCATTGATTTCTTAGAGGATACAATGATTTTGAGGTCTTTATTTAACAATTTGTTTTCATTTGATTGCATATTTCTCATTGATTCAGATGAGGTGTTTTTATTCTTAATTCCAAAGCAGAACTTTTAATGTTTTACAATGAATTGTGACCAAAAATTGAATAAAAACACCTAGATCCAAATAATGAAGTAATGTTATTCAAAAGGACTCTTATGAGTTCTTATTATTCGAACTTCGAATTTTTGAGGTTCTTATTTTTCGAATATCGAATCTTCGAAGTACTTATTTTTAAAAAAAAATTCGTTGTGAATTATTATTTTTCGATTAATTTGTAATTTTAGTGAACATTCCTACTAGTTTTTATAATTAAGATAATCACTGTGATGAAATTGCATTCCTTAAATGTTATTGCTTTAAAAACATCTAGTTTAAAAAAAATAAAAAGTAACGGACTTTCTTATTTTAAAATTTTAAAAAAATACCGCGCGAAAATTTTGAAATTTTTTTGTTTGTAACGGACTCTGTTCTCTTTGCTATATATATGAAATCACGAAAATTGATTTCAATTTGTTCTGAACAAAAATATTGTTTATGAAAGGGTGTTAAACTACTTTTAAGTTTAAGTTGTTTTTTCCGAAATTTAAAAAATCTATAGGTGAATACGCTATGTTTTAACCTCAAAATAATTATCCAATAGAATTCTATTCCAGCGTTCAAAGAAGTCAGCTCAAAGCCGCATCAAAATGTGCATCTTCTCCCTCGCTAATAGAAATTAACATGCGACGATGGACGTAGGTAGATAGATAGGCAAAAATAAATTTATATAATAATATCTATATAAGATTTTTAATTATATCACTAACATTAATTTAATTGTATGAATTATTTTGAAATAAAATAAAAAGAATTAATTACGCACAGACTTTCTTCATCATATGTATTACTATATAATTTTTATTTTTTTTATTATTATTACACCTTTCTTAGTATTTTTTTTATTATAATTTATCACGCATGAAATGAATTATAATCTGGCGTGATAAATGCAACTGACTAGCAGCGCTCATAGGTACCACATCTCGAAAGTCTGTGAAGTTCTTGGATAATAAAAGAAAATTATTTTTTATCATTTAATTAATCATAATAAAAAATGTTGAATTGCAGCGATCAGAATCAATTAAAAATTTGCACTGGGTTCTCGGTCGACGTTTTCGGACCGGATATTAAAAAAAAGAAAATTTTTCCCCAACCAAAGTGCCAAAATAGAATTTTCTTTCTCGCATTTTCTTCTCAATTTTTGTTTTTATTTTTTAATCATCTTCCGCTTCTTTTTAGCTTGGAAGTGACCTTATTTACTCTTTGGTATGCCTCTACATTCAGTAATTTAAAGTACAAAAATTAATTTTTTTTAATAAACGAATTCCTAAGTACTACCAAAATAGGGTTCTATCTTCCTTTCTTTTGTTTTTTTTTCTTCTTTCTTTCTTAAGGAATTAAAATTAAGTTTTCATCTTCTCATAATTGAGCTTTTAATATTTATTTTATACCAATATAATCTAACAACTAGAATATTTCTCTTTATTAAATATATATAGAATTTAAATGATTTCTTATTCCTCGTCTTGTATAAGTTTGAGGATTTCTTCTTCTTTTTTATAAAATAATCTTAAGTAAACACGAAGGTAACGACTTTTTTTAAATAGGAGAAATGGTCATGAAATAATTTTCTCTCTTTTTTGTGAATGGAAAAAAGTAAAAAATTTCGATTGTCATTTTTTTGTGTGATGTGCTTTCTTTCTTATGTAAACAAGAAATTTATTTGAAGGAAGTATAAAGTTGGTGGAAATGGAACTTTTAGTCAATAACCATTTAGTTGAGTACAATGAAAATATTGACTGGAAATGTCAATAAAGGAAATGACTCTCTGAAGTTTGTTCTCTTGAAGTTCATGGCTAATATTTTGTTGTTTCGGGATAGTATCAATTATGGATAGTATATCGGACTAGAATCAGCGATATAAAGCAACATGTAACCAAAACTACTGTGCTAGGGTTAGACCTTTTTAATGGAATGGTTAAGCCACAGATGTAAGTTTTTAAACCTTGACTTTTATTGAGACCTGGGTCCGATTCTCACTAGTTTCTGAACTCTCTAGAACTTTGTTTCAAAAGTTTTTACAAAATTCAAATAGTCTAGTGGAACTTCCAATGTTTGTTAAAAAGTGCTTTGAATCTTTTGGGAAATGTAAGTACAGTCATAGCTAAAATTGCTACAGATCTTAGTTACTGCACAATAACGGACTATAAACGAAGCTCAAAACCTTGTATTGCTGACGACAGCTTGTAATATAATATAAAAATTGGTTCAGATCCAACTTTAACCTGAAACTTTAGGTACAAGTGCCGTGATCACGCGAACTCTCACTTTTCTAGCCTTTAAAAGCATAAAACAAGCAGCTATAAATCAGTTCTATAGGTTTGACGTTCAACTTTTGAGCAACTTAAATTGATACTTTTAATTAATCACTCCAAGAAACTAAGTTATTACCAATTTAGCAATTTCTTCAATTTCTTGCATTGAAAATGATTCCAAAATAGCCTCAAAATAATTCATATCATTTAATTATCGCACATATTTCTGCGATGCGTTTCTATCAAAAATTTGTTTTGTGCGTTTATATTTCATGTAAAAATGTACGAAAAACAGAAATTAAACAAAAATCGGATTAAAAAATGTGGAAAAGAAAGAAATGATTTTTTTTTTGGAGATGAAATAGAAATCGCCTCACACACATGTTGTGAAGACTAAGCAAGAAAAAAAAGATCGTAATTCGTGTTACTTAACAATTAATCATAAATAGTTTATAATCATAATTAGGCGGTATTTAATTTATAAAAGAGAGAGAGAGAGAGAAAGAGAACTAAATATGCGCATTTTTTTTCATTGTATAAAATGTAAATAGATCAATAATAATAAATTATTAAATGAAATTTATCTACTTAAAAGATAATATAAAAATGGGATTTTTTTGTTGAATTTTTCCACGACAATTGGCAAATTTCAATGAGAGCAATAAATGAATTATAAATAATTACTAATTATTCGTAATGTGATGGTTCCTTTATGATTAAAATTAATCGATAATTGTAGAAAATAGATTTTAAATTAAATTGTCGAATGAATCCCATTTCTCCAAATCAATAAGATGCATTAAATATCTTTGGCGATTCAGTTACCATTATTGAAGTCGAGCTTCTTGCAAACTAGCATTGGCGGCAGCGGCAGCAGCATTTTGATACGGATTTGTTAGTCCATTAAATGCTCCTTGTTGCGGTAATGCAGCATAAGCACCATAAGGCATGTAAGTGGCAGCACCAGCACCTGCACCTGTGTGAATAAATTTTATTGATTAGAATTTTTCAGGAAATGCTTAAGTTATGTACGGAGTTTAAGGTTGGATAGAATGTAGATTCTGCAGCATTCGATCAGCCTTAATCCCTTCAAAAAAAAAAATGTGACATTTGATTTACCATAATAATTACCTGTAGCAGCAGCTGCATAAGGATAAGCTTCAAATCCACTATATTGTCCTTGAAATGGAGCAGCAGTTGCAGCTAACGCATTCTGAAAGAAATAAAGAATTGAATTGAAAATATTAGTCATGCTAATCGATCAGATGAAGTTGTTCATTGGATATAGTATGATTATAGTATGTATTTTGAGATTATTATCACGATATCAAATCAATATCAAAGAAAGAAAAGAAAAAAAAATCCACGAAAATCCCATCCGAAAAAAGTGTAAAAAAGAAAAAAGAAAAAAAAAGAACTCACCTGGTATTCATAAAATTGACTTGTTGCTGCAGCAAGAGCAGCCGCATGTGATAATTGTGTTGCTGCTGGAATTTGCATTGTTAAGCCAGCAGTTGCCGATTGTTGATTTTGTGTCGCTGCAGCAGCTCCCAAGTAAGGTGATCCAAGTGATCCATAAATGTATGATTGTGGCACACTTTAAGTTTTTCAACATTCAATTTCAAGTATTTTTTTATATATTTTTATTTTTTTATTTTTCAGATCACACAACCAACCGAAACATATAAAAAGAGAGTTAAGAGTAAATTAGTGAGTAAAAATCTTTCCAAAAAAAATTCCAAATAAAAAAAAATAATTAAATCATCAATGTAAAATTACAATAGTAAAAAAAAATAGATTAAGGCTCTCTCAATTAAAAAAAAAATGCTTACAAATACAAACCAAAAAATGCAATAAAAGAAAAGAAAAATGAACACAAATGAAAATAAGTATATTATAAAAAGAATAAGTGATGAGAACTGAGAATCTTTTGATATTTTTCATTTTAATGCGAATTTTATTTCATTTTATTTGATGCTATAAAATGACTTTTTTCAGCTACTTCCAACAATATTTATTGAGTTTTTTCGGAGAATTATACAATTAAGAATTGAATTGAATTTTAATGTTTTTGAGATATTTCGAAATTTAAAGGTTATTTTCGATTTAAATTCTTTTAATTTCGGAAGCTTTCGAACATAAAATTCAAACTTTTTGAAGATGAAATTCAAACTTTTTGAACAGAAACTGTCAACAAAGTGAGAACTTAGTTACGAAAAGCAAACTTATTTCGAATTTTCGAACATGATCTTGGAAAATTAATTTTATTTGATTTTCGAAATTTAACGGTGCTATTACTTATTGTTAATCTTAAATATTTATCAAGCTGGAAGTCATTTAAGAGTGACGTTCAGCCTAAATTGGTTTTAAAGATCACATTTTCTTCTTTGTTACAGAATTTAAATGCAAAAAAATCCATAATAGTGTCATCTCCCGAATTTCTCCTTTAATTAGTAGCCTCTTTATGATAGACCCAATAACAAAATATCAATTATTTTCTTTTTAGAAAACAATTTTATCAGAAAATAAAACATAAAACACTCATTTTACCAACATTTTACATCCACGAAAGTCATTTTTATGTCCATCAAATCACATCGAATCCAAATGGAATCGACACATGACATTTTCGTCCTCGCCATGACATTTTGATGTTTAACAAATGTCTACAACATTCTATCATCATCAAAATGACAACATTAACCTATTTATTTTTTTCTGATACACAAATGAGTTTTCCACAATTTTATTTCGATGTTGCTGTGTGCGGTTGTACAAAGTAAAAAGGACAATGCAACGTTCATGTAATGCCACAAAACTTTTTTTTTTTTGAATCATGAAATATGGAACGAACAAGCTGAAATAGTCATAGTGGATATAAAATAATATTTCGAATAGATAGCACATAGGGAGTATAAAAATCGATGGTCACTGGGGTAAACAATGTGAAATATTGAATAGGTACGTCGATAATAAGCAAGCTAGAACTCATTCTGTCCATTCTTTTCGTCTGTGCATGCTTGCTCATATGTGTTTATTGATTTGAATAATTTATAAATCCATTCTATATTTTTGCTTTTTTGTTTTCCTATTTTTTACACCGCAATAGTGCCTGCCTCGCGACCTCAATCATAATGACAATAATGGACATAGTCGAGTCCATTTAATGATAATTACAGTCTTTTTTTTTTGCTCCATCACATGAATATTCTTTACTTTGTGTTTGGATGTGCGATAAGGGGTTTTTTTTGATTTCATGCAAAACTATTGGCAGTAAGGTCGGAAAATTTTAGCAATTATTTGACTAGATAGTGCCTGCCTGCTTATCAATTTAACGATCTTTATGAAAATGTATGCAAATTAGGCAATTAAATGACAATCGATTAAAAATAATTCACACAAGAAGCAATTGTCCAGTGCCTGACACAAGAGACACCTTCTTTTTCGCATAGCAATTTCAGCAGGCTTATAAACATTTAATTTGAGATTTGTGGAGTTAATGCACGCTATAGTAATTTTTTAATTTCCATTTCATTATTATTTCTGTTTGGTTGAGCACTTTTAATGGAATCGGAAAAGTTGAACATGATAATGATTATGTGGAATGCTAGAGGAACTAGAGTTCTGTGACTTGTCATATTTTAATGTGGATTATTTGAATATTTTTTTGAATTATGTAATTGAGGTGCAATTGTTGAGGAAACTCATGAAAATTGAGTATGCTTAAGCAATTTTGGAGCTAAGGAGGCGTTTAATCATGTTTTAAGCCATATTTCCGATTTATCATTAAAACTTTGGGACTAGAAATTGGCTGGACATAGCAAAGAATCATTATCTTGTAATAAAGAACAGTTTTAATTCTCTGACCGAAGATTTTCAAGTGTCTTATGATATAGACATGCTTTAAAAATAAACTTCCAGCAACTCCAACTGATTGATATCAAAGATATCAAGTAATTATAGAAAACACAACAAAAGAACAATTTCTCAAAACTTAATGAATAATTAATTCAATTAATACGACTCGACAAAACCAACAGCTATAAGAAGTAGAACCTAACACGTAAAATTAAAGTAAACGTTTTAACAACAATATTTAGAGTAATGGAACTTGGAGACATCAAAAATTCCATAAATTATTTAACAAATGTATCGAATTTGAAGGGAGAAATCCAAACAGAATGGAAACAAATTTGTTGTAATTTCTCGATCACGAACATTCAACAAGCATGTCGATTTATCAATTTAAACATGTCCCCCATTTTAATTGTTTATGCATGTTTCGTTCTTGCATTGTTTACTATTTCGTCCTTATCAATTCAATTCAACCTTACTGCGTAGTTTATGGACGTATATTGCAATAATTAGTTCCAATGAAATTGTAATTTTATATTTATCATAAACAGAATTAATAAGCAATAAGTCTTATTATCTCCCTTATTTAAAGTTCGTTCCCCTCTTCGGCTCCAAATTGTAAGGGAAAAAAACATTATTTGGCATCACAGCCAATCGCAAATCGCGCCTCACGAAAGTATTTTTTTGCGCATGACATGAATTGAACAATTGAAGAACTTGAACAACAAACAGCAAAGACGACTGGAAATGTGATAAATAGAAGCGTGAAGTAAGCATGAAGTCTTTTGTTTTTTCAAGTAGCGACAAACTTTTCTCGACATTTTTTAAGACATGCCTTTTGTTTTGATTTACTCATTTTACTATGCAGTCTCATTTTTCTCATGCTAATCTTATTAAAGCATGGTGGAATCTCATTTTGTTTTGAACAAATAAAAAAGTAAATATAAAGACAAACAATAGCTTAAGGAGGCGGGGTATAGATGCAGGTGTTTGTTAACAATTAAATGATATTTAAATGCACAAACTTTATTATTATTGCTGTTATTAAAATGTAAAGTAGATTGAATGACTTTAACATTTTGCAATCAAGGGAAAGTTTGCTGACTGTGTTGGGTGACTGACATGATAGGAATTAAGTACAGTAGCTGATTTCAAATTCATTTGACTGGTTGAAGTCTTGAAATTTATGAATTGATCAAACTTCTCTTTGAATTGACTAGACGTACCAAATTAACACAAAACAGTCAGCCAGATTTTAACTGTGTGTGTGTTACTCGGGTCAGCAAGCACAGAACCCAGAAAAATACCCAAAATTTCATCAAATCTCCAAGAACTGTTAAAAAAATAATCCAATTTTATTTCCCAAAAACTTTTTACTTCTAATGATCTAAATCATAATCTCTAATTCCCTCATTAACTATTGACCACATGCCGACGAGCATTAAATAATGCTGAGAAATTCTCTCCGATTTTAATTCTGCTAGATTCACAACTTAATCTAAACTTTTTCATTTGAAAGTAAATCTTAGACGAGGAGTTTGTTGAAACTAAAGTTGATTGGCAGTTATCCAGTATTTGATGATGAATAAGTTTTTTTCTACTCTGTGCTGATTACGTTACTTTTTGGCAATAGTCTGTGCAATGTCATTCAAATGAGTTAAAATTAAATGTATTTTTGGATGATTAATTAATACAAGTTTCATAAAAACTGCAGTGGAATTGCTACAAGTAGCTTTAAATGACATCGTTCTAGTGCTAGCATGATTTATGGCCATAATATTACAAAACTGTGTTAATATTATGTTCAAAGACCTAGTCATGACTGTTATTTAGATAGAACATGAAGATAGGATGACATACAGCATATTATTATGGTTAAACTCTATTGTTCTGTCCTATATCCTTGTAGATACATCAAACAATTAAACAAAGTAGCTGACACAAAAGTTTGAAAGGCTTTAAAATGGAAGAACAGCTTTAAAATAAAATTGTTGAAACTTGATACATCCACATTGATCATGAAAATCGATAATAAGATGTATCTCATCATCAAATAAAGTTCCCATAGGTCTTTGACTAAATAAGAAGTCTAGTAACATACATTAGAACAAAAGGATTCTTTATTGAGACATTTAAAACGTGACATTTCATCAATTTCTCTTTCCAACACATTCTTACATGCACAGACCGACTAGATTCCTATCAATTCATATGTATCGTTTTTCAAACTCCCCAAGTTCTAAATGCTGTTCAAAATAGAAGAAATTTCCTCTTTTTCATCTATTTTTCTTGGCTTGAATTCAAAAATAGAACAAAGGGCATCATCATAAACTCGCGAGTGTATTACCTAATCCACACACATTGATATATGAATGTGAACAACTTTAATGTGCGAGAGAGCAAGAGAGTGACGAGCAGGAAGACGAAGAAAATTGAGACGAAAATATTTTCCTTCTTCTTCATGTTTCAATGCTGTTGTGGTGATTTTGTCAGCATTTGTCGATGCAGGAATGTTGTTTTTGAGATGATCCATGTTTTTGTATTTTTGTTTCTGATTGGTGCCAAAAATTTGAAATAGTTGACATTGTGCAGTTGGGATAAAGAAATTTTACTTTAAGTCAAGAAATTAATCAGTTTGTTGCAAAAAATAGTGATGGATCTCAATTTTCTAGCCTGATTTACTAGTTTATAGCAGAGATCGAAGCCGATTTTTTCGGCTTAACTCAATTTTTGATTTTTTTG